TGGATCTATAAAATCAGATACTAAGAGATAACACTCTGCCTCCTAAAAATATTATTGGGTAGGTGATGGGGAGATGACTTATTAGCTAAAAGTGCTCAGTGTGAAAGCATGAGGACCATAATTCAGCATCTGTGTAAATGATAGGTGTGCATGGTGACCTGTCTTTAGTCCCAGGTCTAAGGACCTCCAGATCAGTCTGGCTATCAAAACTAGTCAAATTAGTGTACTCTAGACTCGCTGAGAGACCCCACCTCAATACACACACACACACACACACACACACACACACACGGAGAGAGAGAGAGAGAGAGAGAGAGAGAGAGAGAGAGAGAGAGAGAGAGAGGCAGACAGACAGATATAGATAGATAGATAGATAGATAGATAGATAGATAGATAGATAGATAGATAGATAGATAGATAGATAGATAAAGTAGAGCAGTGGAAGAAGACAGCAGGTGTCAACCTCTGGCCTTGAAACACACACACACACACACACAAACACACACGCACACATATATTCATACACACACACACACGGAGAGAGAGAAAGAAATGATGAAATTCTAGGTTGAGGTGTAATGAAATATATTCCAATACATTACTGAATTGAAAAAGTGTGTCATACAACCATATTTGTGTGAAATAGTCTCCACACAAAATAATCATAAAACTTGTTGATAAAGCCTCAGTTCCTTCCTTAGTTGGGCTTCACTGCAATTTTTTGAATTTCTTCTAATTAGCATGTAGTAGTTGAAGGTGATATCTTATACAAGTTAGTTATTCTAATAAAATTGTAAATACTATTTATGTCAAAGTTCAGTGACATCTAACTTGACTACAAATATATTAAAAGGTAAAAGACAATTGACATTGTGTTTTGTAAAACCACATGAACATGCATTATTAAGATGAGGATCAGAATCATGAAGCAGAAATTTTGCCTATTCTACTTCATAACACATGTAGAAATGCATATTTTTAAAATTTCCTACAATTATGAAATCTGTTCAAACACTATGAGAACTGTCTTCAGCATCCTCAGTTAAGATCTTTCCATGGTTTTCCTCATCAGGTCACTCTTGCTTTCTGGCTGGCTATGAGGGTGTGCTGTGGATATTGCTCTGTATAATAAAATGCTGATTGGCCAGTAGCCAGGCAGGGAGTATAGGTGGGACAAGCAGAGAAGAGAATGCTGGGAAGTGGAAGGCTGAAGCAGAGAGAAGCTGCCAGCCACCACCATGAGAAGATGTTAAGATACCGGTAAGCCACGAGCCACATGGCAACTTTTAGATTAATAGAAATGGGTTAATTTAAGATATAAATTATATATATAAGAACAGTTAGCAAGAAGCCTGTCATGGCCATACAGCTTATAAGTAATATAAGTCTCTGTGTGTTTACTTGGTTGGGTCTGAGTGGCTGTGGGACTGGTGGATGAGAGAGATTTGTCCTGACCATGGGCCAGGCAGGAAAACTCTAGCTACAAGGGTGTGCAGCTGTTTCTAACAGAGTTTGTTCAGCTTAGCACCTTCTCTTAGATAGGAGTTGGAAGGGGAAAAGGCATGGAAATAAATTCTCAGAAATGTATCAAGCTATTTTTATACAAGGCCAAGGTGAGGTCCCCTCTGAAGCTCAGCTGGGAGGAAATAACATTGAAATGTGGGTAAAATGCTAAAATGACCACAGAAGAGAAGGCTATTGTCAAATTTAGACAAAACAAAAAATCTTCAAGATGGCACAAAAGGAGATAGAGAGTAGGGGCCAATGGGTTACATTCTGGACTTTTTAACATCCATCACCTGGCACAGGCCTCAAACAAGAAACTAAAGAATTCTAGGAAGATACTAAGAAAACTAGATTCCTCAAAGCAGTGTCAGTCATGGAGAGAGTTATGGAGCTGGGAGAACTTTTTCCAGTAAACAGAATTAGAGGCAGGGGCTTGCTTTGAAGAGATCAGCCATCAGCCACTACCAAGACAATCCTGGAAAGGCACAGTGCTGCGTTATGATTCCTCAATCCTCTCAGGCACACATTTTGGCAAGTGAGGTCAGTAATGCACCCAGCATAACAACCCCCCCTTTCTACCTCACCAGTTCTCAAAACTTTTCATCTTGAGATCTCTTTACAACTAAATCATTGTGGAATCACAATGGCTTTCATTTGTGTTCAATAAAATATATACATAAATATAAATAATGAAGAAATATTTACATTTATATATGCATACATTTATCGCATTGCACATTTAAAGTGTTAACTGTTAAAACAAAATACGAGAGCACACATTCCCTTAACTGCCAGAGCAATTATGTCATCACCCATAGTGTACCACTAGAAAGCTCGACTGCAGAGCTGTGAAAGAACTGACATGAAAAATACTCTTGGCATCACATACTCCCTGAAGATTTCAGGCTCCCAGGGATTGAGATCACTATATGAAAAACATTTTGGCCTCGAGTCTGTGCTTTATTTTCTGAGACCAAACAGAAATATCAGTGAACAGCATCTATACTATGGCTTCAAGCTCTGTAGCCTACCAAGGCTCCCATAAGAACTCCCAAACTAAATCTGTCCCCATAAATCCACCATGCATAACAAGCTTCACTAGTGCTCCTGATGTGTCTTCTGGCTGGTCTTTTTCTTAGAGTCCCATGCTAAATTGCAAGGCACTGCTGAAAGATCCCCCAACTCCTACTCAAGGTACCATTGCACATTTTTTCATCTCTCTTCTTGCATTTTCCATTCTGTGATGAGTATCTACCTAACAGTGCATCTGAGAGTACGATCTAGGCCTGCCCTAGAGAACAGTCTCCCTGAGCGACTAGGGACTGGCAATTAAGGATGACAGCTTACTACTCTTTGTTTCACTTCTTACACCTGATACATGTTCAAAAACATGTTATCTGCTTTGTCAAACTACTCTAAAGTAGTAACTAGTCAAGGACTGTGGGGATAAGGTTTCTGTGTACTTGTCTTGAATGCATTTCTATGATGTTATGTGAAAATGTTTTTCATTAGCTTAGTATCTAGGAAAGGCTGTTGATGCAATACACAGGTCTATGTTCTTTGGAGTTATTTCTTAGTTTTCTATGATGTTAGACATGGCAACAAATAAAGATACACTTGACTCTGCACAGATACTTCCTGCAACGTCTGGTACATGGGCATATTCCTTTGTCTCTATAGCCCGCCTGTGTAATCTGGGTTTTATTTTCAACTCCCATGTGAAAGATTCCAGTTCTTTTCTGTGTCCTGCAAGCTGAATTCCCCCTGGAATGTGGCTCATCTCATAGCTAGACAACACAGGATCTTAAAGATCTACACACAAACATGGCATTTCACTTTGCAAGTCTCAATTAACAGAATGTTCTCTGGGAAACAAATGCGGCCAGCTCTCAGAAGCCACCAGGGAGCCAAATTAACCAGTTGCCTTCATGAAGTTCAGCAAAATATTTGCGGGGGAATGTTTCTGTGCAGATGGAATTCACACTGAATTGTTTTGTCAGGGATTTTTATCTCCTAGAATAACCAGAAAACAGAGTGTTTGTAGTGGTGACATGACCCAATGCTCATTACTAACAAAGTGCTTCCCATGTTCCTGAGCCGGTGCAGGAGCTTCCCCAGCCTTGAAAGGAAGACTGGGTTGGAGTTATTGTTTAATTGGCCACAGGCTGGAGATTCGCTTTCTGCATCACTTCTACTATGTTGCTTCCGTGCAGCCTGAGATGATAATGGCAGGAGACTAAACTCCAATGGTGCCTGTTCCTTCCATCGGACTCACAGCTGACCCCACTACCAGCTTGCCTGGCTGGAGGACTTTTCTGTCCTCTAAGAAGGGCCAGGATCTGTGTGGCATCAGGTTCCAGAAGAGCTAAGCTTCATTGAGATTCAGGTAGCGATCCCATAAGCAAAGGCTGCAGTGCCATTAGAGTGGTGGGGAGACAAACAACACTCGTGCTGCATACCAAGTGGAGTCACATTTAACTGAATAATTTTCTTATGAATACATTCCATGCTGCCACTTTGAGCCACTGCTATAAAAAAAAAATGCTGGAAAAAATGGATCTCTGCTAATTACATTTCATGCATATTTCAGAACTTTCCACGGGGATACAAGAGGGTGGTGATCATAAAAGGAAATTTTGTAACTAGGTTCACCTGCGTTTTGGCTCAAAACCTGAAATAGAGGTTAATGAAGATAAGTATGATTACACTGTGACTTGAGACTGTGATTCCTTATAACTCTATTAGGACTGCTTTTGTGACAGGCAGAAAATGAAATTCCCCTTTCAGTCCACCTGGACACACACATACTGCATTAGAGCATGTGGCTGTTCAATCATTTCCTATCCATGTGCTGTTTATTGGATTCACCATTGGATTTTTTAATTGCACTTTTGAGGTTATGATATAATTACATCATTTCTCCCTTCCCTTTTCTTCAGAACTCCAAACCTCCCCTGAAAACCTTTCCTTGCTCTTTTTCAAATTCACAGCCACTTTTTTCATTAATTGTTGTTACATATATATTAAAATATATATTCCTAAATACAACCTCTGTCTATATAATGTAACTGGTGTATGTGGTTTTGACAATGATGATCTGATATTGGATAATTAAATAGTGGGCTCCTCCCTGAGGAAGACTGTTTCTCCCACTCTCAGCTTTCCTTAGTTGCCTGTAGTTCTTTGTGTAGAGCCTTGCAGTCTTTCCCTCATCCACTTTGGCATGTCTGTTGTAGTTGTCTTTGATCTGCTCATGATGGAAGAACCTACATCTACCACTTTACTAAAGCAACATCTAATCTAATCTCTAACTACCCTGTAAATATTGGTGCTTATATCCATCCATCAGTGTAGTCCATACCCTTCATCAGGAAATTTCTTTTTGCAACAGAAGGAAACCATGACCTTCGGTTTTAGGTTAGGTTAAATTAAGGAAAGTGACCACTGAGCTTTGGGATATGTCAGGACAGCAGCAGAGAATAACATGTCTTTACCTGCTTCAGGAGGGAATTGTAAAGGACACATGTGACCCCTTTCGCATGGCTCTTCACCCTCTTGCTGGCTTCATTTTTCATGGCCAACAAGGCAAGCTGATTATTGAAGGAGATGAAAAGCCGTCCATGGGTTTCATCAAACTGGAAAAGGCACCTGAAGTCTTGACTTTTTGGGAAAGAACAAGCTATCCTTTGAATGGACAGTTGGTGTTGAATATCCCAGAGTCTCAGAATCTGGATGACAGGGAACAAATAGGAAAAATGAAATAAATGAGTCAACAACGAGTCTGCTTCAAGCAGTGTCTTCCCATCGCTCTCTTGACCCTGGTCATTGCCTCTACAGCACTGATTGCTTTGTAATTTAGTTAGGACACTGGTGTTTGGTGTTTGGACTACCCAAAGTGCCTACAAGCTTTACTAGGGAAATCATTGAGGGTTCAGTCAGTCTCAAGGATCAGAGTATAGGCTTAGTAAAGGCTTGGAGTAGGCAAAAAAGTCTTCCCTAAAAATGTTCATGCATGAATCCCAGAACCTACCAATATGTCATTTTCCAAATTTTTCAAGTGTGGTTGAATTAAGATCTTTAAGATTAGAGAGTACCCAATAGCTTTGGCAATGACCTAGATTGATTGGGGGCTCCTATGGGACCCATTTTTGCCAATAACTTGATTACATGAAACCCGTTAACCACATCCAGGGGTTCATTTGGTGACAAGAGATGGTCATTTGGGCCAGGCAGTGGTAGCACATGCCTTTAATCCCAGCACTCAGGAGGCAGAGCCAGGCAGATCTCTGTGAGTTTGAAGCCAACCTGGTCTACAGAGTGAGATCCATGACAGGCACCAAAACTACACAGAGAAAACCTGTCATGAAAAAAACTAAAACCGAGAGAGAGAGAGAGAGAGAGAGAGAGAGAGAGAGAGAGAGAGAGAGATGGTCATTTGGGGCTCCATCTCCTGCATTGTTTGGTGATTCCATTTAGATCATCTTCATATATGCATATATTTTAGGAAGTTTCTACTGTATTAGGTTTCCATAAAACCCCTCAAATGGCTTTTAGTTTTATCTGCCCCCCACCATATTCCCTCCCTCACTGCCACACACCCCCATGTTTAATCCTCCCACTCCTGTCCTCCTCTTGCATCCATAACTACCACTCCCTTACTGGGGCGATTCAATCAGCCTGCCCCCTCCTTACTCTATACCTAACCTCTGTGGTTATATGGATTGTAACCTGCTTATCTAAGACCCAACAGCTAACATCCACATATAAGCAAATACATACCATGTCTGTCCTTTGGGATTTGGGTTACCTCACTCTGGGTGATACTTTTCTAGTTACATCCATTTATCTGTAAATTTCATAATTCCAGTTTTTCAACAACTGAATAATATTTCATTTTGTAAATGTACCACATTGTCTTTATTAATCCCTTGATGGATATCTAGTCTGTTTTCAACTTCTGGTTGTTACAAATAGAGCAGCAAAACACTCTATTGCTGTAAACAACACCTGCATGATTCATTGCACACTGAAAAGCCAAGCTGGCCTACCTAGAGCTTTCGCTTCCACTGGCTAGTGTACGGGATACCAGCTAGCAAAGGAGAGTGGTAAACACCAACCCAGCACACACCTTTCAATCTACAACAGTGACCTGAATGAAGATGTGCTCGTGCAACAATGGCCCAAAGCTTGTGAGAGTAACCAACCAATAAGTGATTTTATTTAAGGCCACTCCATGAGCTAGAATTCATCCCGGATGCTGCTTGGGTGGCCAAGAAGGAGACTAGACAGGCCAGGGACTGATGGGAAGACTGAAATACTGCCATTCTACTAAATGAACATAGCAACAAGGTGACTCCCAAGGGCATTCTGCCGTACTCGCAGATCAGTGCCTTGCTCAGTCTTCATCGGTTAACCGTCCAGCCAAAGTAGATGAGAATAAATACCGAGCCCCACATGTGTAAAATATGAAGACAGTGAGAGACCATGGAGTGCTCAGTCCTAAATGGGCTGCCTCCATCAATTTCTCTCCCCTCGTGGCTCTGATAACTCTGCAGAGGAGGAGGGGAATTGTAATTGTAATTGTAAGAGCCAGAGAGGAAAGAGGACACCCAGGAAACAAGGCCTTCTGAACCCAGCAGGAGTGATGCACCTGGGAACTCACAGAGAGTGAGGCAGCATGCACAGCCTGCACAGATCTTGGCATAATGCAGTTCGGTGTTGAGAGTGGAAGTGCACATGAACCCCCTCCCCTAACCTAGAAGCTGTCTCTAGTTGATAACCACTCACAAACTAAAGACCGGTTCTCCAATGAGGTCTCACTTCGGATACAAACCACTCTGAAGGCCAGGCTTCATGGGCAGCAGTAGATGACCAACAATAAAGGAACTCAGTGGTATTTTGGAGGATTTGGAGTTTTTAGTTTAGTTTGTTAGTTTGTTTTTAATCTCACAGTGCTCTGTCTATACATTTTTTCCTTTGTTTCATTTTCTTTACTTACCCTACATGTTCTTTGCTTATATATCCTGGTTTCTGATTTTGCATTTGTATGGAATTTCTGTGTTTGCTAATGTATTAGTCTCTGTATCTTTCTGGGTTTCTTGTGCCCTTTTTTTTTTTTTTTTTTTTTTTTTTTGGTTTTTTTTTGGTTTATTTGTTTTCATTTACTCGTATTTGATAATTACTGTTCTTCTATTTTTTTACATGTCTGTTTTCTAATGAGAGATAGCAAGAAAGGAAGTACAGATTTAGGTGGGTAGAGAGGTGGGGAGGAGTTAGGAAAGAAGGAATTATAATCAGAATAGATTGTATGAAAAAAACTTATTTTCATTTTTTTAAAGAAAGCAAAACAACAAAATACTTTAAGATTTAGGTTTAGAGAGTGGGTTCAGTGGTTAAAACTGCTGCTGCTCTTCCAGAGAACCCAAGTTCAGGTCAATCCTGGCCACACACGACCACCTATAACTCCAGTTCTAAGGGCTCCTAGGTCCTACCTGCCTCTGCATGCACCAGGAATGCACATAGGGCACATAAATTCATACAGGGAAACACACATATGCATAAAATAAAGTAAATAAATAAATCTTTTAAAAAAAACCTTTAAGGACTTTAAGATTGAAACATTAAGATGAATTATTTTGGTGAGACTAGAATAAACACGTGTTGCTTTAAATACTGAAGGAGAAAGCAAAGAAAAAGCCCAGCAGTGGAGTGTGAAGACTTTTCCTAGTGTTGCTGGCTATGAAGGTGGAGAATAGGGCAATGACAGACAGAGAAATAGGCTGGAATAGAAGGAAGGGAAATGTATTTTCCCCAGATCCGCAAAAGGGACACAGCCATTCCAACATCTAGATTTGAGCCCTGTGAGAGCCTTACAGAACATGGCAGAATTCTAATCTATAGAAAACCATACAATATACTGTAAATTTATATAATTCTAAGCCATAGTCATTTGGTCATTTGTTCTACTATAGATAGAAAATAAATGTCATCCTCTCTCTCTCTCTCTCTCTCTCTCTCTCTCTCTCTCTCTCTCTCTCTCTCT